GTGTGGCTCATCAACTTTATACCTCTGTAGTTGCTACAACTCTGCACATCACCCTTGTTCTTAAAGATCGGCACTAGTACACTTGTCCTCCATTCCTCAGGCATCTTCTCACTCTCTAAAATCCTGTTGAACAAACTAGATAGAAATTCCACTGCTGTCTCTCCTAGACACTTCCACACCTCTACAGGTATGTCATCTGGACCAACAGCCTTTCCACTCTTCATTCTCCTCAGAGCCTTCCTCACCTCATCCTTTCTAATCTTTGCTACTTCCTGCTCTACAATATTCACCTCTTCCCCCTTCTTTCCCTCTCATTTTCCTCATTCATCAGTTGCACTAGTACACTTCTCCGTCTTCTCTGCACACTCTCCTCACTTGTTAGCACCTGAACAAACTAGATAGAAACTCCACTTATCTGTTGCACATCCTTCCCATCTCTATTTCTCTGTCTCGCTAATCTGTACAAGTCCTTCTCACCTTCCCTCGTGTCTAACCTGGCATACAACTCATCATATGCTTTCTGTTTGGCCATTGCCACCTCCTTCTTCACTAACAATTTCTTGTAATCCTGTCTACTGTCTTCAGTCCTTTCTACGCCCCACTCCTTTTTAGCTACGTAGCCTCTTCTTCTGGATGCTGTCCTGTACTTCCTCGTTCCACCACCATGTTTCCTTATCTTCTTTCCTCCTTCCAGATGACACACCTAGCACCTTCCTACCTGTCTCCCTGATCACTTCTGCTGTAGTTTCCCAGTCATCTGGAAGTTCTTCCTGACCACTCAAAGCATGTCTGAACGTCTGTCTGAATTCCTCACGACATTCTTTCTTTTGCAACTTCCACCACTTGGTCTTCTTTTGTGTCTTTCCTCTCCTCTTCCTGACCACCAGAGTCATCCTACACACCACCATCTGATGCTGTCTGGCTACACATCCTCCTACCACCACTTTGTAGTCACTAATCTCTCTCAGATTGCCTTGTCTACATAGAATGTAGTCTACCTGCATACTCCTACCTCCACTCTTATATGTAACTCTATGTTCCTCCCTCTTCTGGAAATAGGTGTTAACTACAGCCATTTCCACCTTCTTAGCAAAGTCCACCACCATCTGTCCTTCTAGGTTCCTTCCCTTAACACCAAACCTGACCATCACCTCCTCATCACCTTTGTTCCCCTCACCAACATGCCCGTTGAAGTCTGCCCCAATCACCACTCTCTCCCCTCTGGGAATACTCTCCATCACCTCATCTAACTCACTCCAGAATCTCTCCTTCTCTTCTAACTCACACCCTACTTGTGGAGCATAACTACTGACTACATTCAACATTACCCCTTCAATTTCTAACTTCAGACTGATCACCCTGTCTGACCCCCTTTTCACCTCTAAAACATTCCTCATGATCTCCTCCTTCAGGATCACTCCTACCCCATTTCTCTTCCTATCCACACCATAATAAAACAGTTTGTATCCCCCTCCAATGCTACACGCTTTGCTACCCTTCCACCTGGTCTCCTGCACACACAGTACAGTATATCTACCTTCCTTCCCTCCATCATGTCTGCCAGCTCTCTTCCTTTCCCTGTCATTGTGCCAATGTTAAGAGTCCCTATTCTCAGACCGATACTCCTTTCTTTCCACTTCTCTCTCTGTCTACGGATCCTTCTGCCTCCTCTCCTTCTTCAACCAACAGTAGTCCAATTTTCGCCAGCACCCTGTAGGTCAACAGCACTGGTGGCGGTCGTTGTTAACCCAGGCCTCAACCGATCCGGTATGGAGTTCACACTTATGATTCGCATGTTTAAATTTGGCATGTTTTTATGCCGGATGCCCTTCCTGACGCAACCCTCTCTATTTATCTGGGTTTGGGACCGGCACAGAAGTCACTGGCTTGCAACCCCTGTGGCTAGATTCAGATCCTTCACTTAGTACTTAGTTAATTCACCTGTGGCAGCATGTGTTTGAAAAGAGTTACAATGCCAGTCGTTGCCAACTGCAACGACAGGTTTGGCTGCAGCCATCCAGTTTCTTGGAACGGCATCACAATGACACACCGCTCCCACCTGATACCTCCTCAGGTTCTAGTCCTTTTCTGTCCCGCTTCTCTCTTGCAACCTCACCGCTTTCTCCACAGACCACTTCTAGGCAAACATATTTCCTTATTTGGAGAAATGGCAGTGTAGCAGTATGCTAATTGTGCATTGCAGGCACGCAAATGTTATTTTAGAGTGATTCCGATTTACTACCATACACATGGTGGTAAGAACAAAATTGCTTTACATGTCATGAATCTGAGGGTAATTTTGCATGCACACTTATTTTGTGCCCAAGATAAGGTAAGAACATTTCTGTGCACATATTAGTGAATGAGGTTCAGTGTCTGGAAAATGGGTATTTTAAGTAATACTGGAAACACCAGCAATATTCTGAAATATCTTTAAGTGCAACATGAACTAAAATTCCAGGATGGCCATGTATTTGACACTTTGACAAGTGCCACTGCCTCCCAACCAAGTAGTATGTTTGTTAGCGAGTGTAACTATCCTGTGTTATAATAACATTAGCACCAAACAGACAGGCTTAGCAGATCTCTGACTCAGAATATCTAAACGAAAATAAATGCTGTACAAATATTCTCATTTCATCCATTTTAGTTAATGACAGCAGACAGACTGTTGCTACAGGTAGCTCTTGGGCTACAGCTAGTTGCTCAGCTCCCAGTCAGCAAGACCCCATCACACTTCTGCACAGGGAGGGAAAAGGAACAAAGAATGGGTTAATGATGAGTGTGACTGTGCAATCACAAAATTTGTAGTGAAAGGTTTTCACCCTTTCTCAGCAGCAGAAGAACCAGAATTTTGGTACTGTATGTTACCTGCTTTTCTTGAGGCTAGTTATAGGTCAATTGATTTACTGCACATCAGTTTTATTTACTGTTTATAGCATTTAAAACGCAGGCATTTCAGAGTGCATTACATACTGTAAGCAAAGAAAAACATAAATCTAAAATAAAAAAATATATGATCAGAAACACAATTACAGAGCAGTTACAGTGCAGTGATAAATTGTAAATTCCCCAAAAGTAGCAGAGGCAGGCACAGCCATGACTGTTTTAAAGAACAATTGTTTATTTTAGCAATTTTTTCTTTGTCTTCCAAGTTATATGTTTAAATGTTATCCGGTTGACATTATACACTGTGCTCAGACTCAGTAGAGCTCAAGACTAATAAAACAACTGTGTTTGCACTGAAAGCCTGTGTAGGCTTAGCTTTTGATTGATCAAGTTTAACTGAAGAGAAGAAAGGTGACAGGAAGATAGAGGAGAGGGACTTCACGATTAATGGTCTACAACTTGAAACCCTTGATCCATCAGGGTGCCTCATGAATTAATATACTGCCATTAACACTGAAAGGAATAAATGTTAAAACTAGAAGATTAAGTCCCATTTAAATGGGATCACCCTTTAAGGTTATAGTCAGGGCTAAGGAAATATATGCAGTAGAATTTGTTCTCACAAGTATACAGCTTAAACTCTGTGCATTTATTTTTGTGTGTACACTGGTAAGCTTGTCTTTCAGTGGGTCCTGGTCACAGAAGTCCAGTTATGTCTCCTCCTCTCGTATTCCCATTGGCAGCAGCTTGAATGCTGTACTGCAGCATGGTCCCATCTCATAAAACACCCTGCTCCTCTTCTGACCATATCCTTCACTTTCTCTGTCTCCCTCTACTGTTGTCTGACACATAAGGTGGAAGATGGTTTCCTCACTTTTCTATACCCTCCCTAACCACGGAAAAAGCAGCACGCGTCCAGCCACATCTTGGTCTGGACATGGAGTCATTAAATAGTTTGAAAATGAAGGGCTCAATGTCATCATTCTTGTCTGAGTGTTGTCTGTTTTTTATATCGGCTTGTGAACGTGTGAAATATCTGAGCTGACTGAGAACTTCATTCCTTTGAGCCTGCCGCTGGACATTGCAGAAGGTTACTTCTCTGAGCGTTCAGCACTTTTCCCTGGAAAGCATCAGTACTGAGAACAGTTATCCCTTTACATTTATACTTGCAGTCCCTGGTGAGCAGGGCAGTCACTGGTTGCTTTTAATCAGAAAGATATATGGATGGACGGAAGGGGCCTAGTAACAATTAACCCATTAACTGGCCCTGAATGCTCCAAATCCATCACCCAGTGTGTAGAGAGACACCCTAATTCATAACTGTCCTTCCTTGTACCCTCTGCATTTTGTCTGTTCTGCTCAAAGCAACAACTGTTAGGCCTAGATTAAACTCTTCAGGAAATATTTACTAAGGGTTGGGTGCTAAACAGAAGAAAAGAAGAAATGTGGAACTGCTGGAATTTGTTCATTTGGGTTTATGCAATGTATCGTATGCATTGCTATACTGTATTTAACTAATTAGACTGAGGTTAAATGTGTGGTTTTGACCAACAACCATTTCTAATTGTTTCAACCATTATTCCCTCCATTTTCTCCTTCTTCTAGGGCATTCTGTTGGTCCATGATGCAGTTGCCCAGAAGAGTTATGACCCTGAACTACCTCCGCTGCCTGAAGATATCAACGAGGAGGAAGATTCAGTGAAAATCATACGACTGGTTAAAAACAAGGAGCCTCTAGTAAGTAGCTTTGTTAATCACCCTGAGAAAAGATAGGGGCCTGTCTGGTTTGTACATACAGTGCCTTGCGAAAGTATTCGGCCCCCTTGAACTTTGCGACCTTTTGCCACATTTCAGGCTTCAAACATAAAGATATAAAAGTGTAATTGTTTGTGAAGAATCAACAACAAGTGGGACACAATCATGAAGTGGAACGACATTTATTGGATATTTCAAACTTTTTTAACAAATAAAAAACTGAAAAATTGGGCGTGCAAAATTATTCAGCCCCTTTACTTTCAGTGCAGCAAACTCTCTCCAGAAGTTCAGTGAGGATCTCTGAATGATCCAATGTTGACCTAAATGACTAATGATGATAAATAGAACCCACCTGTGTGTAATCAAGTCTCCGTATAAATGCACCTGCACTGTCAGTTTTTTATTTGTTAAAAAAGTTTGAAATATCCAATAAATTTCGTTCCACTTCATGATTGTGTCCCACTTGTTGTTGATTCTTCACAAAAAATTACACTTTTATATCTTTATGTTTGAAGCCTGAAATGTGGCAAAAGGTCGCAAAGTTCAAGGGGGCCGAATACTTTCACAAGGCACTGTACTAGTTTTCATTAGCTCCCAACATGTTTATTAGGTAGTAAAAGGTATCTCTGGACACCCGAGTCACCCAGCGTGGTGTAAATATGCAGATCATGGGCTGCATTATCCCCGGTTCAATTCAAAGAATGCCAGGAATCATTTTTTGCACATTGATCCCTGTCTCTCTTTTCTACTGTCGGCTGTCAATAAAGTTACAAAAATACTAGAAGAAAAAACATGAACAGATTTTTAAAAAATTATAATCCTTTTATCTAGGCTCTGGGAATCCAACCCACAGCCTTGAAGTTTTAAGCACACCAAACCAAACACAATTATCCCGCTCTAGGCCGTGAGTATTTTCAACCAGTCTAGGTTTTGTGTCTGCTTACTTTTCTATCCTGGTCAGTGTTGCTCTCTCATTGTAACATGCCTCTCATGTCTGTGCTCTTCAGACATAGTCTCAGACATCAAAAACCACTTGTCTGTATTGACCTTGGGCCCCAACTGTATGGCAAAACCTTTTGGCTGGTATTCTTGTTTTCACTCTACCCCTCAACATCCTGGGTGTCTGTGTCATATGATGGCTGCATACCATACATTCCTCTGGCTCTGTGATCTAGTGAGACACATTTGGGAATGGGCTTTAGTAACCCTACCAAACTTATTTGGTGCTGGTTTTGTTGGACCACATGCTGTTTCCTGTGTGGTTATTTCTGTTGTACCTTTATTGTGATTCCTCCATTTTCTTGACAGACCTCAGTGTGCTACAACACATAAACATTCAGCTACTCAGGTTCTCAAAGGACTGTCAAAGACCTCCATCTCTTGTCATAGCACTTCGTTGTGTGCTGAGGCCCTGCCCATCTTTGATCTGGGCCGAACATGTCTTTGCCCCAGCTGCCTCTATTTCCACTTTGTGGTTTTCACCCTGACCATCACTCCTCTCACCACACCCTACAGAAAGGAGAACACACCTAAGCCATTTTTGGGTTCCTGCCTGTTGCACATCCTGTGGAGTTCATGAACGGCTTGGGGGAATTCTTGCTGTCTCTCACAACACACAATTTTAGTCGCCACTTTCTGCTAAGGCCTCTCCTACGGCTGATGTTGGGTCACATTTTCTGAAGCCATAATGTGATTTATACCCACTCCGGTAAGCTTATTTATCTAGCTGGTGTTATTCCACTATGCAACAACATTCTTGTTTGTGATTTGGCTCCTGAGAAAATCTGAAACATTTACAATGTGGGATACTGTGTACAGTATAATTGCACAGTATTTAATATGTTAATTAGGTAGAGGGCAAGGCAAGTTTATTTATATAGGACATTTTCATATGCAACAGCAATTCAAAGTGCTCAATGCGCACAGAAAGATAAAACATTAAACTCTACTGCATACAGTATATAGATAAAACATTGGAATTCAAATTAGATAAAACATATAAATATTACTTAAAAGAAACAATATCAAAATAGTACACTAACATGCATGAGTAGATGCCTAGTACTTTCAGTACAGCTGTGGCAGACTGTGGATTCTCACTGTTCTCATTATACTTGTACTCCTTCAATCTTCCCAAGACTAACCTCTGAGTATGTAAACATCCGAGACTTGCCAGCAAAGCCCCTACAACCAGCCTCCACTGCATCAACCTTAACTTTCCAGCCATGCTGCTCTGTGTCTGTAGTTATACATATTTAATCTTCTTTCTCTCATAGGCTGTTTTCTATAGCACCCTCCCAGGTAATGCAAGTTCCACAAAAATACACAATTTGCTGTCTCTCTGACCACAACACAAGATCTAGTTTTAGATTGGCGATGACTATCTCCTGAGAAACTATGAACTGATTTTTTTCATTCTACTCTTACTTGCCAGTCTTTCTCCACTGCCACTCCAGCTGCCCTTTTGGCCTGCTCAAAATGACTTTTCTGCTTTTTTTGTCCTAACAAACAAATGAGATGCCCTCTTGTTTACCTCTAGATAAGTAGCTGCTGCTAGACACTTTATTACATCTGCAAGAGTATTCTCCTTGAGCCAGGCTTGTTTTATACCCTGAGAGGATGTGTTGGAATGAAGCTGCACCTCACCTATCCATCTATTCAGATTTTGGGGACAGGGAAGTGTAATACCCCAGTTCTTTTATTGGACAGATCTGAATAATGAAGGAGTCTGTCTTTCTTGATTTTAGTGCTGGTTTATTAAGTTTTGGGCTAACCCCTTACACAGATGAAGTCCGTCCAGGAGACTCCATCTCTTATCTAGAGCTCCACAGGCTGGAGCAGCTGCATATTACCTAGTCATAACAAAATGAAGAATTCCATGTGTGTGTGTTGTTGTTACGTGGTGTGTAACTAAAACAATCATTCAGACATAAATCTAACACAAGATTAATACAAGAAAACAATTGGTGTCATGGTTTACTGCTAACCTTGAAACAAAGCAGACTAGAGCAGACATTGAATCTTACTAAACTGCATTACTAACACATTAAAGTCTAATAATTATCTGACTGATTTATTAATTTCTAACAGAAGCATGTCATAGATTGTACATAGGATTAATTTAATCTAATCCCATTTCCATGTCCCAGACTTCCTTCCAGCTATATGTCTTCAATTCTAAAACTTCCCTTCTCAACCATTGATCCTGCTGTGTCTGAAAGACTGCTTTTGCCTCCTAACCTCATCAACAGGGGCATAGCCAGGAATTTATTTCAGGGGTGGACCAAGGTGGATAGTTATTTAATAATAATGATAATTTAAAAACCAAAAACCACTGATTTACACCTCTCTTTTGGTACCCCAGTCTAGGTCAAAGTAAACCACTTTCCACTGAAGGACTGTGGTTCTTCTCACCATTGCTAACTCTGACAGACGAGACAGTCCAAGTAACTTCAAAACAGTGCTGATTTATTCAAAGGATCACAGGTAAAATTAACATTACACGCTCAGGTATCTTGCACCTCCAAACTGCTCGCAGGCAGATGTAAGATGAAAG